CTTGTCCCCTTTTACGGTCACCAGGCAATCGAGCATCGAGGATTGGTCGAACCGTGAGATCATTCGGTCGTAGGACTGCATAAGCATGTTCACATGTCCTTTGTCGATTGTTCGTCGATTCTATCAAAAAGAGATCAGAATTACAGCGATTACTCGTGAACGACTGACGTGGTGAGGTGGAAGAACATTGGTAACGACGATGTCGTCGACCCCTAAATCCGAAAACAATCAAGAATAAATCGAGCGAGACCACGGGATGATCATCAAACGGGATGGTGATTCGACTGAAAATTTACGTACTCCTCGCTCTCTCGCTTAGCAAAGACCGGCGATACGTCGGAGAATCGCGGACCATTTGAAACAAGAAAAGTCGGTGCGTCAGCTAAAGTTCAAACAGTAAAAGATTCACATTTCGGAATAAGAAAATTCGCAAGACTGAATAGAGTGAGATCGGGACAATAGTTCTATTCAACCTATACGAGTGCAATGAGATACGAGGAGGGGAGAATCTTGGCGGAGAAGTTTCTCTTAATGCGCCGGAATGGGAACGCGGAGACGAGAATACAGTTGATATTAATTGCTTGAGCGACATTCTTCGTGTCGCTCATTTTTCTCGCGAATTATCTCGATCTTTCCAGCCCCCGTGGAGCCTCGATCATGACCGCAAGTGACGCACGAGCGTGTTCGAAGGGCACCACGAACGTAGCTGCGACGTCAATGAAAGAAGATGAGAGATAAGTGCACAGCAGCTGTCAAATTATATAAACTATAACACTATTTTCAATTTGTTCGGTCCTGTCTTAATATAGGCATTAATCGAGATAAAGCTATTTTAGAACTGCACTCTAATACGTCTGAATAATTTTCTTCGTAATGCGTCTGAACAATTTTCTAGGATGTCTTCATATGTGTTTGCATGAAATTACGCGATTTTCCTCGAGAAACATGGTGAGAAGGACCTTGCGAGAAAATAAAATTATAATTTCTAAATAAATTTAATTTAAAAAAAATTTTATAATTATCAAAGATGTGAGTTTTCACTATATACGTTTTCTTCCCTTTCATTCTCTTTTCTTTTTATATTTTTTAAATATAGACACACATTTTGTCACATTTTATTATTTTATAAATGAGAAAAAATTTTTAAGTTTTTAGTCTCTAAAACGTTGTTACTAAAACTTTAAAAGAAAAAATAATCAATTCAATTGATAATTTTTAGACACATTTATTTTATCAGATTGTTTTTGCAATCTTATTCGAATATATTGCAAATGTTTGAGAACATTGTTTCAATAAATCTGAATATATTGTATTATAAATGTATGAGATTTTTGTTTCAATGTAAAAAAGATTTCATCGAGTACTGTTCACGTTGAAGCTCATCAGTAAATGTTTAATCGCCCGAGTGATTTATTACGCAACACGCCCAATGCTGATCCAGCGGCACATGTGCACCCATAGGAAAACTATCAAGTATGCATCTGTTTCAGTAAACAAGTCGTTGGATAAAAGCGAACCGAACATTTTCATTTATCGAACCAATAATTAATGCTAGACGTTGATTTTTATTCTTTAATCTTCAGTATTAAATATATTTGATTATAAATTAATATTCTGTTAAATTAATTGTTAAACTATGAGATATAAACTAAAAAAAAAAAAAATTCTTTTGCATCTCTGCAATTTTATTTTCTCGCTTTACTTTCTTTCCATTTTCATCTGCTGCTTATAACTTAAAGACTATTCCTGACAATTTTGCGAGGAAAAAAATCGATTCCAAATTCGCCAGATTCTGCTACTAATGGTCCATCCGGGAGAAAAGGGAGACAACTTTACGTGATCATTTAGAGAATTTGTGACATTCGTTCCAATAAAAGGCAGATCCTTTTCTTGTACAAGACCGGAGCCAATCGAGCATGATAAACTGACACATTTTTATTGAGCGGAAATAATGGCAACTTCTATTAACGTTCGACGCGAATGGAGAAATTGTATGTTCAAATTACAGCTGCCGGAATTTAAATAAATGCGTTAACTTCTCGTCTTTAAGAAATTCCATCGATTAAAATCAGATTTAAATTTTTGTAATTGTGAAATTTAATTTCAATACATAATTTACAAGTTGAGTGATATCGAATAACAAAATTTCTTTTTCTTAAAACTAAGGCTTTAAAATAATAATTATTCTGCACAAAGAAATGTTTTTTTTTTTTCAACTTTTGTAAGATGGAATCTCGTGGTTTTTGCACGTGCACTGTTCAATTGAATACGAGAATGTCAGCTGTCACCATCATTCATTTTTAAATCTTTAGAAGAAGCTATATATTGTCTACATTTTATCAACAATAGTACAAAAAGTACAAAAAGTAATATAACGCCAACAAAATTTTATTGTGGATGATATCGGATAGTATTATATTATTATTGGAAAATTTTGTCGGAGAAAAGAAGATCCATTCACTTTGTTTCGTGGAAAACATCTTGACTTTCTCATATAATATAAATTTACCTTTTAATAAAAAAAATCACGTCACGAGTGGGAGAGATGTAAACGGCGAAATGCGACAATGGAAAGCTTCTTTCACGTAAACTTTTGACATCGACCATGGCTTCACCAATCATAATACGTGAGTTGAAAGACTATATGGGGAATACGTGGGTGAGCTGACAAGAGAAACTGAAAAGAAGACTTGATTCAAGATTCGAGATTGGGCGAAGAAAAACCCGCGATTACGGAGGCACAGTAGCGATGTGGGAAAAAACTTAGCCAATTATGCTTTTTGTTCCGCAAATTGGGAAGGGTGTACTTGGGTATAGGTTCTGGTGCGTTTCACTTAGCCACAACATTTGCTGTGGATATGTAATTATGAACTTTCAACCGAATTTATTATCGTCCGACTAAATTTTTCCGTCCGGCTAAATCACTGATAAATGATTGTTCGCAGATGTTCGTAGTAGAAACTTTTCTTATTTCTCCGCGAGTTTACTCAAAGTAATATAAGTACATTCTCACAAAAGGGACGAATTCGATATTCCCTCAAAAGTCGTATCACAGGCTAATATCCTCATTGGGCAAGAGAATGGAATTAACTAATTAATTATATTTCTTAACTGCAGTAATTTACGTGTTTCTACCCCGTTCGCAATTTCAGCTTTCACGTTATTTAATGGGCCATCGTTCTGTGAATTAATTGATGCTCGTAGAAGAGCTATCACGTTTCCAGCATCTTCCCACGGCATGGAGACTCGTAAGAAATATGAAATGATAATTAACTCGCAGCAAAATAATTAAATAACTTAAGCCTAATATTTATTCTGTTTGAAAACATATCCTCTATTTCAATGTAATTTTAAAATAAATGTTCACATGTTCTGTTTTGCGTTAATATAAAAAAATATATCAATATCATCACTTAGAAGACAAAAACAAACAGAACACAATAATATCAACAATCAAAACACATTACGTCTAGATAAATAAAATTAATAAGAAAATAATACAAATCGTCCAAAAAGGATTTATATGACGTACAGTTATTCATTTAATAAAATAGAGACGAAGCGCGCACCTGTAATGATTGTTTGGTATAAATATAATCTGCAAGCATCGTATTTATACCGAACATAATTTACGATTTTGTTGTTAGGGGAGATCGGGCAGGGGAACTTAGAGCGTGCAGTGTGATCAGCCGGAGTAAATTATTAGCAATAAAATCAAAAATTATTATATTAAAGCAATAAGATTAAAGCAATTAAATAATAGTAAATAAATAGAAGGTAATTCTTATATACAAGTCCTACTGGATTGTGCTGAAATACCTGCGAGAACTGTAATCTTAAATTAAGCTACTGTTTTTCGTAAAGCGGCTAAAGCAAAAAAAAATCGGGATTTGCGCGATTAATTAGCGACTAAACAGGAGGTAATTTCTATGCAAATCCCATTCGATTGTACTGAAGGGATTGTGCGAATTTTAATTTCAAAGCCAGCGAAGCCATTGTTTTTTCCGATTCATATATAAAATTAAAATCAATGTTACAGAAATGCATGCTTTATAAATAAAGAAAAATTTATAATAAACTTTAATAAAATAGCTATAATAGATAAAAATTTATATAAATTTATATCATAAAAAGGATTTAGCGCGTATGTCCTCTACAAAAACATATTTTTCCGCGATATTACTTTGGTTGAAATCACTCGTATTATTTGCATTAGCTCTGCAGATTTACTGCATATTTTATTGGATGTTTAACGAGCATTAGTCAAAATATAATGCTGCAAAAGAGTTCCACTGTTTACGTAACGTTAAACCAATGTGTGCGATAGTTTGAAACCTGTTTTATGTTTCTCGGATTTGCGATATCGCGCGTTTTTCTTCATTCGGATTCTATTCGAATAATGCAAATAATTCTCGATAGAGCAAATAGAACGGCGAACAGTTCGCATAGTTCTGCTATTGCATTTTTCGACAAGCCCTCTTGTATCTCGCAAAAATGTTTTTACAGCTGACCGATATCCGTCATATCGTGAAATGCCGTTGACAGTTTCCGCACGCGATATTTCCTATCATAAATTGAAATGATGAGACGGATTGTTTTATTTCTCATAGATAAAAAAATATAATCTCGCGCACAATTTGACCACATTTGACTGCGCAAATAAATTTTTAAATAAATCTGCGTTAAAAAAAATATTTTCCTTTCATTTTTATAAAAAATTTTTAAAAAAATTAAAAAAAAAATTTTGTAAAAAAAGATATATTGTGTAACATAGTATATGATGTTGCGAGAAACAAATTCGCGCACGATGAATTATAACACTTTTATTATCCCCCTACGTTATCTTATTGATCATAACTGACCAATCGAATGTGTATTAAACCAATTATCAGAGAGATAGAACGTATTACCATCGATTTCATAATAGATCCGACCTTCACGAATTTTCATATCGCTTATGGGACAATACAAGATTCGCAGCTGGGAAAAATAATCACCAGTTAACAATATAAACGTGCTATATTTAATCATAAAATTATATTTATATAAATGTTATATATATATTTCAGTATCAAGATTTATAAATGCGTTACTTAAAAGGCATACGCTTCGCGCAAAATGCATATTGGTGCCTTTGTATTTAGCCTGACAGTCGCTGCCACGGTAATTACGTGACAGAACAGATTATTGGATCACAATGTAATTTCAGCGTATTGAGTACAGTTTCCTTGTACATCGTCTTTAGCAAGAATAATGTCCTCTTTCGACTTTTCTTTACAGTATAAAATCACAATTATCGTCAGGTTGCCAGTAATTTCAGCAGTTGAGGTATATAATACCAAGATTAAAAGAAAAAGAAGTTGCTTTTAATTGTTAAAAATCAATACGTATTAAGTCTTTCTTCCATTTCAGCCCTTTCGTTTGATTCTGTACATCAAAATACTTTTGCTGATACGTTTATTTGGTCTTATTAAGCGGCCAGTTTTTAGACAACCAGTCTTCGAATGTTTTAACATTTTTAGCGAGCCATTTGATATTTTTCGAGACGTTCTCGCGAGTTTTGGCTCGACCGTCCGCACCGGCGCCAGATTTAGGATACTTCGCGAAGAAGGCTTCGATTTCGTCCATCTTGGTTTGCGTGGCGAAGGAGCTTGTAATGGATGGTATAATCTCACCGAGATAATGATTATTCAATGTGTATCTGTTCACCAGGAATTCCCAGTTCTCGCGCACCCAGTCCCACACCAGCTCCGTACCGTCGGGATTTTTGGAAATTAGAATCAAGCATTTCAAGAAATCTTGAGCGCGGACGTATCTCTCGTCAGATGCTAATGCAATGTACCTAAAAAAGAAAAAAAGAGAAATTATTATTTGACTTTGAATGAAAAATGTATTTTGAAAATTGTCCAGTGGATTGTATAGCGGATTTAATACTAACTCCTTCAGAACTTTAGTGGATTTTGTGCCTGCTAATCCCTTCATTATTTTATTCTTCTCGCCGGAATCGGTCTCGGTTTTAAATTTCTCGAACATTTTAGCCCAGTCACTCTCATCCGAATGATAGCGCGTACCTAATGAAAGAGATTTTTGCGTTCCATTAGAATTCCTTGACAGTCGAATGTTACGGGCAATTGATGATTACGTTGCGAGATAGACTAACCGTAGTAATAAATCAATTCGCGAATATCAGGATGCTGCGGTTTGTCATATAACAGCCATTCCTTGAAAAGTTGTCCGGCCATTTTCAAGCATTCTCTATTCTCCATTTCACAGGCCAATTCGATTACTGTCGGTCGCACTCGATTGTCAAGGTGCGAGAACGGTACATCGTCCTCAACGGTATCATCGACGGTCCATGTTACATCCTTGTAGATGGTATTTACCAAGAATGTGACGAAAGCCTGAAAATATGTTGTTTTCACATGTAAAAATAACATTCGCGACGGCATCGGAAAGAAGTTCAAGCAACGTTTTCATTGATATATTACCTGATATGTGTCTGATATCGGCGAATGGTTCTGTCGCGGCTTCGCGGAGGTTAGCAGAGTATATATCGGCCTCAATTTCGAGTTCGCAACCGCCCATGGAAGAGCCTGATACTCCTCGGTGAGATACACACTTATGTCCAACACGATGTCGTATTCAATCTGGCCGGCATCAGCTAAACTAAACAGATCGTCCAAAAGATTCGCTCGATCCACTGCCGGCATTTTCTGCAATAAAAAGAAGAGAAACGTATAATAAGTAAACCTACAAAGAAATTATTAATTAGAAAATTAAGAGAATAACATATTAATCCGTAAAATTATAGCTTTTTATTTACGATACAAAATTGCGTGACTTTACCGTGGGATTAGACCGAAGCAGCTCCTTGTACGTTTGCCATTCCTCGTTATAATTAACTCGATAATAACCAACTTGACCCGCATTTAATTTGAACCATCTAGTACGTTCGTCGACATCAATCACCACTGTGGAAGTATACAGTTTTACAATGAGAAAGAGGATATACATTAATTCGTACAGACAGATTGTAAATTATACGAAATCAAAATCTCAAACCTTCTTTCGCATCCTTGTCGAACCATACAAGAGAAGGTACCTCGTTTCTGTTGGTGATATAAGAGATAGGTATGGTCCATTGATATCTGTAAGATGTAACGTAATTTTGAAATTTAGTTTGTCGATTATTATCTCGAGATAAAGTAACTTACCCGTAAATTGATTTTGAGGAATCGAATTCGGCGTCTGGATCGTCCAGGAATCGTTTCTGGGTTAATACAAATTTGTTTCCTGACTTTTTCACATCAATAACGGGATAGCCTTCTTGCCGCGTCCAAGTGTCCATTATATCGATTATGTTTAATTTCTTTCCATACGCATCTTGCAAAACCTCGAAAAGATGAATCGTTTCTGCATTGCCAAAGGCGTACTTGTTCAAATAGGCACTAATTCCACCGAAAAAGACATCAGATCCAAAGAAGTTCTCCATCATGCGGATTATAGATGCTCCCTAAAATAGATAGAAGTTCGATTAAATAAATGAGACAGTAAAAAATTAGTCAAAAAGTGCAAGAACCATTATAAAACAATATATTCTGCATTTGGCTCTTTAACGCTTCTTCCTAATATTTGAATTGTTAGAGCCTTGTCTATACATTTTTAAGTTTTAAAAACAATATATGTTGTACCTTTTTATAAGATATTCCATCAAAGAATGACGAAATATCGTCTGCATTTTTTAGTTCATGAACTATGGGATGAGAGCTCAACTTTGAGTCGGAATTCAACACTTTCTGCATTACTTCAACAGGAAATTCCTCCATCTGGAAACAATATTTATATATTACAGATAAATATATTTACTCATATATTTCAAATATTTATATCACCATTAGATTATTATTGAGATACTAACATATCCCTGATTTGGTAAAATCGCATCCGAACATTTAGATGCCATGAATGTAGCGAAACCTTCGTTGAGCCATAAATCATTCCACCACTTCATGGTAACTAAAAAAAGAATACATATGTCTTAACTAAGCCACGATTTTCATTAATCCACAATTGATTGACATGAAATATTTACCGAGATTTCCAAACCACATATGTGCCAACTCGTGACAGATTACGTTAACGATATCGCGCTTGTCGTAAACAGAGCTACTACGGTCATCGTAAAGCAATCTTGATTCTCTGTAAGTCACTAAACCCCAATTTTCCATAGCGCCGGCCATAAAATCGGGAATAGCAGCCATATCTGCACGATAAATAAAGTGTATATAAATATAAGAGTAAATATGTCAAGATTCTTAAACGAATATGACAAATTTAACTTTATTTGAATCAATAAATCTCTTTTCGTAAATTATTGTTGCGTATTTACCGAGTTTTGGTAATGGATAATCTATTTTGAATAAGTTGATGTAATATTCGATAGCTTTGACGCCAATATCCGCTGCAAAATTTCTTTTTTCCTCCGACTGAAGTTTCGTGGTGTAGACACCGATCGGAAGTTCTCGGCCATCCAAGCCCTTTGCCATCTTAGTTGTGTGAACAAAATCACTGATAATAAAACAAGCCAAATACGTGGACATGGGTACAGATTCTTCAAAGGTCACTGTCGACAGACCTCGACTCGGTGTATTTTCTTGCCTATCCTAAAGCAAAAAATAACTTATCAGTAAACTGTTTAATAATTATCCGAAAGAAACGATTAATTAATATCGCTATTATTTGCTTTACATTTTAATATGTACCTTTACATTCATATTAGATAAGGCACTGTAGCAATCATCCATAGGATGAACCAGTTTTACCGAAAATTTTGCCTTAAAATTGGGTTCGTCAAAACACGGGAAGGAATGTCTAGCATAAGTTGGCTCGAATTTGGTAGTCGCAATGTATCTGTTGATTAAAAAATATACAAGATACATTTAAATCAATTTTGCTATATCATTGAATATATAGAAAAGTTAATTAAATTTCATCTAAAGTTTGCGCATTACTTATTAATAAAATGACAAACTTATATTACCTGGTTTCATTAGTTCCATCAGGATTATTTATATAATATTTGCTGTTATAGAATCCAATTATTTTGTTCCCAAGATTGCCGTCAAATTCTATGCTCAAGTTATACAATCCGGATTTAATTTCTGTATCAGTTGATATCACAAAGACCTCATATTTGGTAGGATTGCTGATGGAAGAGATATTAATTTCATAGTCTTCTTCTAGACCGAACGTTACTAATTTCGCAGATTTTATTTTGAGATCCTTTTGATGAAGGGCTATGGATCTCCTATTGTTGCTCTTCGTGACATCAATGAGAATGGTCACATTTCCGGAAAACGTTTCCTCTTTCAGCTTCGGATGCAAGTAGATATCGTACTTGATAGGTATGACATCCGTTGGCAATCTGAAGCTTTCATCCGGGTCAAACATTGTTGTAAATGCCTCTGGTCTATTCGAATCTACAAACAAAATTAATATCTGTAATAATTATCCATAAATAATCGTCGCAATATCACGCAGATAAATATTAGCGCATAATTTAGAAATCTTTATCTGTCTGATATTATTTTCGATTGATCTCACATGCTGACGTAACCAACAAGGGAACAAAAAGTTGACGATTATTCCACAATGTAGGTTGAAAGCAAATTTATCTATCAGACGATTGAGCCTATACAAGTTTAAGGACAGCTATAACCAAGTCGGAGTGACAATTTGGATAAAATATTTTTAAAAAGCGACCGGTTATTTATGAATTGCGAATGAAGTGATATTTGCATATCGGATTGCGAATATAAAATATTTGCTTGATGTAAATTATCGTACTGTAAATTACCGCTGTAAAATGCAAAGTATTTTTTGGGCGCGAGTTTCTTTCCGATCAGCTGATCATGAAATCGGAGCATGGCTCCGATTGGACGCCCGCTCCTTGTCGATTTAAATAGTTCCTAGACGTACAAATGCGTTTACGTATCTAATCGACAAATGAACTTTGAATTTCAAAAACAATTTTTAATATCTCGAAAAAATATCTCTTAAGATAATAAATCTATAATAATAATAATAATAAAGTTCATTTGTTCTCTACAACAGAAGAACTTCAAGAATGACATTTCGTATTTAGTGATTTCTAGTGACATCTAATCGTAATCTAGTGCTTTGCTCAAACTCATAAATTTAATAGTAATAAATTCTATAAAGTTATCAGTTTTTTCGTGCAGCGTCAATTAATTACCAGCAAAGCTTGAAAGTAGTATTCTTAGATCATGGTTTATTGTATTTTCTTATTGAATACAAGCAAATCTCATTCGAATAAAATTTATTAGTATTTTTAAGAATTATGAAAAATCTAACTCTGGCATGGAGTGACTCATTTGTTTTACAGAGAAGAACTCCGATGAATTTTGTAATATCGAGAAGCTTTTTCGCTGTGCTAAATTGAAGAGAACAGCCTACAAAAGCACATTTAAATTAACCGCCAAGCAATCACGAGATTTACACGAGACACATGAGACACGCAAGAAACTTGTCACGTTACTGGCTGCGTTGACAAAGCGCAAACACATTGAGTAAATTTTCGTTGAACGCGCTGTGAATGCATCCCGACTTGTATTTCGCGAGCGATTTTGTCATCTCTCTTGCGAAAGTCTCTTTTCTTTTTTCAAAAATCTATCCTTCGTCTGAGACGCGTAATCAGAAAACACGACACATTATTAACGCAGGAGCAGTTTCTGATCGTAGAAATTGCTCCACTTTTGCCACTGATAATAGCTGAATTTTCCGTGTTCTCACCGTGTCGGCTATAGCTCGCTGCCTCAACGGTCTGGTCCAACAGAACAACCAATGTCGCCAGGCAGGTGCAAATTAAACTCAGGATAAAGCAGGCACCGCAGGTAAAGCAGAGGAGTGCGGAAACGGCGTTCTTACGACGAAGTGACCCCGATATCGTTGCCGATGCTACATCAAGGCGAGGCGCGCCGCCTTTCGGTCGGCTTTCGACTTTGTTGTTGCCCATTATTGGGGTGCACACAATGAGAGGGATACCGCGTAATTTAATTCACTATTCTCTTTAAGTTCTCAAATGCTTTACGCGAGACGTAAAACAGATGATCGATTTTTGAGCTCCTGTAAAAAAAAATCGATAGTTATAAGAGCGACGAGATATTATTTGGGATATAAAAAATTAACGTAAAGTTTTTGAAAATAATGAATTTTTAAAAATGAGTCTTAAAAATCAGAGAATAGGCATAATTTCTTATTTTGAATCACAGCTTTCGAGACAAAGCATTTAAAGTTCAGCAATTATTTAATGCGAGTTAGGATCAATCTGTATATACTTCGCTACTTTTAAACAAAATTGCACATTTGAAATAATTTGTTTAGTAATAGTAAAAACAACAATATAAGCCGGTTAGATACTCTTCCGACACACATGATTGGCAAATATGCATAATTGGTCAAAATGGGTCTTTGTGCTCCAATTTTCCGTGACGCAGACAGCGTCTATATGATGTAGGCAATAAATGATGATACAAACTCTCTCGGTGACTTCTTAGAAATAAATTATTGCTATTAGAAGGTACACTGTACTCGAAATGCAAGATAGATTAATGTGTGTGCACTTATCTATAGCGTGCACACGTGTTACGTCCGCGCATGCAAACTTCGATTATTGAACACGAGACTTGTCGCGTTATTTTTTTTTTACAGTTAAAAATTATTAATAAATTTAAATCAAAATTTTCCTACACGAGTGATGCGTGCACAATTTTATTTTAAAACATATTATATTATTAAATAAATTATTATTCTCTTATTCTTTTTCTCTTTCTCTCTCTCTTTCTCTATTTTTCAAATCCATTTAGAAATATAAGTGAAATTTTCGTAACACAGTTAAGAATTATTAAATTATATCATTTTCCTATATGAATAATACGTGCACAATTTTATTTCAAAACATATGTATTATTATTATTAAACATTATTCTTCTACTTTCTGTCTCTCTCTCTCTCTCTCTCTCTCTCTATTTCAAATCAACATATTTATAAAATAAGAGAAATTTTTACCCGGAGAGATGAGCGGTATCGCACTGCACTAGACAAATCGTATTCTGAAGTTAGTAATTTTAACAGTGAAATGAAACTGTGAAGTATAATGAAGCCCACCTTACTCGTTCGCACTTTCTAGGACACGTGACTTTTGCCCTCGGATTACTTCATCGGTGCGTTACCCGCATGTCGAGTAACAAGCCGATCACAATTGGGAATGTGCAATTTCTCGTAGTGTTTTTATAGCAGATGTTCTTATCTCTGTAGCGTCTGGAAAATTTCGGTGCAATATAAAATTTTCCATCAATCTACTCGATTAATAATAATCCGATTAACAATAATCCGATTGACTGATTTTTGCACCTGTATCAACTCTCTCTTTTTTTGTCCCTCGGTTTTACATCATTCTCAGGGAGGTTAAAGTAATCACAATTTAATGTGCTGATGCCGCAGAATTTTAAAATTAGACTGATAATAATATTATGACAGATTACTTTTTGGGTGGAGAGGATAAAGAATACATAATATAATTTATATGTTGTGTCTATGCGCAGTCACATAGATCTTTATAATTTTATCTTTTTCCTATTTCGGGGAACTATTTTGCAATTATTTATGATAGAAAAGATTCGCGAAAAATGTCGAAATAATTGTTAATTTTTTTTTCTTCAAAAATTGCCGTCAAAACTGTAACATTAATTAAGCAGTTTTCTTTCCATATAGAAATAAATCACAAAAAAAATACAACCTTATTAATGTTTTCTAATAAAAAATATTCATTCGATCTCTGTAGCACAGGAAAATATTTAAAATCCTATTCTCTAATTTTTTTGTCATGAAAATTATATATGAAAATTATCTATGAAAATTATAAGTAATTATTTGTTTATTGCACATATTCACCTATTACGTTCTTTTCGTACATATATTCGGTTCCCACGAGAACTGCACATTAAACTAAAATGTAAAAAAAGGCACACTATGCGAAGTACAAGAAACACGACAAGGAGTGTTAAACACAATACAATTCTTAAATTAAAACAATTGTGAAAATGTCTCTGAATTTAAAGATCTATCATTCAGTTTCACTTCCCGATCTCCTTCTCACTCGATCATTCGAGAGAAACTGCGCGTTTAAGCGCCGTTGACGGTATGCAAGAGTCGATTCTCTAACGAAAATCGTTCTTAATTGGATATGACACAATGTCGACGACACAGCCGACTAGCATTCAAATTCGCAAGTAAAATTGGCTTAAATTAACCGTCGTGTACGCACGCGTTCATTAACATTCACCGAAATTGATATAATTAACGATCCCCGGCCACGAAGCGAGGCTAATAAGTGGAACGCACCCACACTGTGTTTTTGAAAGTACAATTAGGAACACTTGGTTCATTCATGTTGTCGCATTATATAATAAATTTTATGTATGATAATTTAGTAAATTGAAATATTTTTTTTTAATTTTCTCAATTGTACATAATACTCTTATATTATGAATGTAAAATTAAAATTAATTTTTTGAATTTCCTCAATCCTACATAATATTGTTTAATATTACAACATATGTTCTGTAAACTTTTAATGTCATAATCATCATCAAATTTTTCAATTTACATAAATTTCGAAATTTACGATCTTTAAAATGTTTTAATTTTTGAACTAACAATAAACAATAGGAAACTAATTTTTGTTACAAAACTCATTAAAATATTAAAATTGTATCAAATTTTTTAAGAATAAATAAGTTTAAAAAATATCATAATACATATTTTTTTAATAAAATTGGATAAAGAAACTATCAAAAAATTTTGAGAAAAAAATTCAAAGTACGATTTCTCGCACTTCAGCAAAATTAATATCAATTAAACGTCATGGCTGTGGCAATAAAACTTAAATAAATACATTCGTTGTATTATGTGCAAGTAAAAAAAAATGCCAAAAAGAACAAAAAAAATATTCACTTATTTGTTGTTTGAGTTGACATGAAATTGTCAATACTTAAATAAATCGCAGTAATTGCAGAAAGCACATTACGGATTCATTTCAATTTACAATTATGGTTACAAATGTCATAATTACAAATGTCAAAAGTACAATTATGACATAAAATTGCTATGAATACTGATGAAGTTCATATCTTTCCTCTTTTGCCATTTACAAGAGTTTCAAAGTTTACGATTCTCTATACAAACGTTATTCTATAAATCTTTGCGATAGACCCTCGCAGCAGATTGCGAAAAATATGGATGACTCGTTATGTGCATCCGGCGAAACCCGTTGCAGGAATCGTAAAACAGTCACGTCCGACTTTCGGCAAACTGTCGAATGTCTCGCCGGAGCTTATGCACACGCGAGAATATATCGTTATCGCGAATTGCAAACATGTAACGCACGGATCAAGCGATCCCAAGTACGGGACAGGGCGAAAATCTAGAAACAACAGAAATTTCATAATGCCGAGTTACGTAAACCTTGTGCGGATGTCGTAAAGGTGCGACCTGTTCTAGGAATCCGCGTGATTAAGCAAAGCAATTATTAGCACTTTAGCGGAGGATACACAATCTGTGCGATCTACGGCGAGGGATAAATTGCAATTTCGTCACTTACATTAGTACCTTGTGCTTGTGCCGTGCTCCCTGTTAAAGTGAAACGCGGGATGGGACACGGACTCTCGAGTAATAGGTAATTAAATCGCAAGCGAACGTAATTAATGAATCGAGGATTGTTATGTAACAATTACATCTATGTACGAAACAGTCTAATTATAAATTCTTGCATCTATGGATGTACTGTAAAATAATGACAGCTACTACATGAAAACAGCATCGATTTGGGATCTGTATATATCGATAACAATAATTTATTTATATATAAATACAGTGTGTGTAAATATATACATATATATATATACTATATACTTTTTATATATACATATATATTTAATTATATATATATATTGTCTTAGCAAAATCTACGTTTGTGTGGAACGTAACTAACGACGAAGCATTATTCATTTCGACGTTTTAACTCTTATATTATTATAAACCATATTATTTCCCCTATAGATTACGCACTTAAAATTTACGGCTTCCTGTGTAAAAAAGAAAAGCGATCCGCAGTGGAAGTACCGGCTATGCTACTGAGAACTGAGATTTGTGCTTAAGGTAGAAGAAAAATCGTGGCCTCTCGCAGGAATCTCGCGCTTGAATCAGTTGTAATCTACAAATTCGAACGGTTGTCTCGGTCGCAGCAAAAAGACTCTAAAATCATCACAGTAGACATAAATAGATTCATGCGGATAAGTATACGCACGAGAGTACAAATCAATACAGTCGGGCAAATATTAATAGTAATATAGATTCGCAAGAAAGCCTTGCTGACAATATAATAAGTTAAATACAGTCATGTAGGAAAATCAGCGTAAGACAGAGTGCGAAAGTTTTAAAAAATTCCTATCAAAACCCAAACTCTTATTGCAGTCAAGATCGTGCGATTCTTTCAATACATTTTCAATATACCGGGAAGACAAAATATAAAGTGGAACGCACATTTAGAACAATCAAAAGTTCAGATTTTATTTATTTCATGTCCGCCAATCTAACAATTGAATTTTAACGCTTAAGTGATCCGTCACCTAGAGATTAAAAGTTATAAATTCTTTTCTACGTTTCACTGATTTGATTTATTTTTGTAAATTGTTTATATATTTAATTATTCGTATGCAGTTAAGTAACAGTCAATATTTGGTAGAGAAACCGTTTGCTTAGTCATTGAATCTATCACCAAACATCCTATACCATACATTATACTTACATTATTATGAAACGCACGCCTCATCACAAGTGTATAGAGATTCACAAAAATTTACGTGACTGCTCGACTGTCAAAAAGATTTGTTCGCTCGCGATTATTTGTGCGACAGTGATTTCTGCGACACAAGCGCCGCGTTTAATCGTTTGAATCGCTATAATAAAATGAAATATAATAAAATGTGGATTTTAATTAATTGCGCACACATCGCGCAATTAGCCTCACGCGTTCAAACAATGCGCATTGCGTAACAATCACTTTGCGAAATCTCTATTCGAGGCTGCGCGATCGGACTCGAATCCAATACACGGCGATTAAGTATTTACGGAAGACAAGCGGAATTCGGGTCCGATGTGCCATGCAACATCGAATCGCTTGTTAATTATGTAAGTAACGGCGGTTCGATTGCCATCGCGTCACCTGTGGAGTTATGTCAGAGCTGACCGCCAATCGCCGATTTCTAATCGCATCTCTATCCGCGTGCAACGCAGATTTTTTATTTAGCTTTGTGTGCAAATATGACTAGGGCATCTAATAATATTGAAATGTTTGTAATTACATAACAATGCATAATGTACATGCGAAAAATGTTTGTTTTATGCTACAATTGTGAAAAATTAATTGAAAAATAAAGTTTATAATTTTGTATTTTATTTAAAGAATAAATCTTTAAAAATTATGACCTTACATTTTTTTTGTTTTTGCATTAACTTTGATTCAATGTCATCAAGTATTCGCAATAATCAAAATGAGAAACGCGACTGGCGTGATACTCGACGAGCGAAAGTGACACGATATGATGGAACCTTTATCGTCGTCGTGTCGAGACAAATCGAAAAGTCAATTAAAACGCCTACTATTTACGATCGCTTGTGCAATAATGATGTTATGAGCTACAGTTGTGTCATCTATATGGTCAATAATCATTAAAACTAAATCGCTTGTCACATACGAATCTTCTATCGTCTCAATTATTTTTGTTTTCTATGAATCGCGATGAATATGAATTTCCGGCTAATAATGACAGTGCCTAAAATTTATTAAACTGGCTACTTGATATTACAACAACGTTAGAAGTTAGATAACGATTCGCGTTCTGTCGCGTCGCAATTATTACGGAATTGACTTCGAGGTTCGCCAAAACAGTTTCGCGCATCTAAACGCGCGATAAATCTAAATGCATAAACAGTCATTCAGAAGGCCACGAATGAATTTGATTTCGTAGGTACATACGTAATTGATTGTACGACACGCCAGCACACTCTCTAATCCAGATCGTCGCTTCACCATTTCGGATTCGCGAAATCTCGATTTATTCTCTATAACGAGGCCGAGTTTTTTTTTCAAATTTATCCCGAGTGAGAGATGCTATTATAATACGCCTTTCGCGCTCATAGATCCCTGACTGAAAACACCTCTGATCCATCGATCCTGGAACCTGATTCGGTCCGAAAAATCGCTGTCGCGCCATTTCCGCCCCTTCATTGCAAGGCGATCGAACTCACGACTCGTATTTCCAACGGCCGTTTTGAAGAGAGGAACGATATAACAACGTACGAATAAAATATTATATAATAAATATATTAATTGACGCCATTAAACGATCATTGTTCTTTGGGCGATTATGTATCCTTACCCGACAATATACAACGGGACTTTGTAACGTAGAGCGTGCACGCCCAACAAATGTAGTATCCTTATCGATAATTTAAACATGAAACACACGATGGCATGTTTTCTTTTCACATAAATTTTTAAGTATTTTGATGTGAAATTTGCGTAAATTTTTAAAAATAAATTTTTGCATAGAAATGTAATTCATAACGAATTATACAAGAAATGAAAAATAGTGATAATCTCAAAAATATGTTGAATACCTAGTAATGGAATAAACATGATATTAAAATTACAAATTTAAACCGTTATTCTCATATAAATATTAAACAATATTTCTATTCAAATAAATATTTAAAATAGTTGTAATCACAGTCGCGTCTTACAATTAGACGCGTCATTTCCACCGATTGCATGATACAGCAGCATTGCAGTACATGCACAAGAGCTGTTGGAAGAAAAATAAAACAATTTTAATTTAACAACCATCATAGTCCCATTATTGTTGATCTATCGATAACGATGTAATAAGTACTACACATCTATAAAAGGAGATTACTTCACACAATGTATAACAATATACTAGATTTTCAGACATGATCGGATTCATTATGAATCTACAATACCGTCATAAATCATAAACGTCTGTCAGATATCCACGTTCTGCGCAACTCCGAGTTGTAATGCCGCATGTACGGAAATTTTGAAGGGCCGAATCTCGGGGCTCAGTCACCCTTGTTGATGATCTGGGCTTCCTGCATATCTTCAGGCGCCATATCGGCATCGCCCCACCCCCATATAACCCCCTCGTGTGAATGATGATGCTCGTCACGATGACCGTCCGTATGTCGCTCGTATTTCGACCCGTCGCCCGTTCGCTCCGCGCGTTTCTTTATCATGCTGTACGCTACGGTCTTCAGATCGTACGCCCAGCCGATCCAGGCGAAGAAGTCGATGAAGGCGGTGGTGAAGTTCGTACGATAGTTACCCAACTCGGCCGCCTTGTAGTCCCACGGGAACACATGATGGTAATTATGCCAGCCCTCGCCGAAGGCGCCGATGCCGACGCTGTAGCTGTCGGTGGGGCTAATGGAGCTGCGGGAAAACGATACGAGCGCACGTTCTTTATCTACTTCCGTTCTTTATCAACTTTCTTTTACGTAGGTTCGATAGGTTTGCGAGTGAAATAAAATGAACAAGACGAAAGCGGATCTCATCGATCGCGATACTCACTTGTCGTACGGTTTCATGCCCCAAATGTGGGCCGCGGAGTTCACCAGCCAAGTCACATGCAACGACAGCGTGTATCTGAAGAGGGTGGCGTACCACGCGTACATGGGTTTCTCGTTCCAGTAGTGACACGGTACCCAAGTGGGAAGCAGAAAGCAGAAAACAGGCATCAAGATGATGTAAAGCCTGTTAATATAAACGCAGACTCATTTCCAATGATTCTTTAGGAAAGAAAGTGTGATATTATTCGTGAAACTTGACCGACTGAGTATAGAAAATGAGATATCGTTTGTCAATGGCAAGTTATCGTACCTGCGTTGCCAGACGACAACAAAATCCTTCTCGAGATCGCTCATATCAATCGTAGCCCCTTTGCTGATGACATCCGGATGCTTACGGACCAAAAGCCAGCCCATGTGCGAAAAGAAGAAACCCCTCTGCGCGTTGTGAGGATCCGCGTCCGTGTCCGTGAATTTATGATGGACTCGGTGATCCCTCACCCACTCATAAATATGATTCTGCAAAAATGCACGTTAAATAATAAGTACAAGAATTAATTTTTTCTTAAATCAATAAATCTTTATTTTATATTTTTAAAGTAATTTTTTCAAAACAAATTTTGCAATATTGATTTATATATACGAGATAATAATTACGAATTTACAATAATAATTGTTGCACGAATGAGGTCATATAACAGCGTTGCAGGGAGACTTACTTGGAAAGCTATGGTCTGCAAAAGCATAAGGATAATTCTCATCGGCCATTTCGCTTTGTAAGATCCGTGAGCCCACAATCTGTGAGCGCCTGCTGTAACACCGACAGCAGCAAAAGATCCGACTGAGATAGCTGTAAGAACAAATAAAATTAAATATACTGATATACCGTGAGATTTCTCGCAAATGAGACAATTATTATTATTTTATAGAGATCTACTAGTTCCCCCTACTGATATATATTATATTATTCCTTCCCACAAGTCGATCAATTGCAATTTATAAAATAATGCTCGAGTATTAAGTCTCAAAAATATATATAAACGATTATACGTACACCAAACGAACGTGTAAAATTGGGCAGCCGTTATTAAAATATACAATCCGTAGAGTGCACCGATATGAAGGTAGGCAAAAGCTATCATGTTTCTCCAGACAATCTTCCATTGATTCTTAGGCTTCGAGCTTTGTGCCTTTTGGATCGGCAATTTTTGCGTCACAGACTTCTCTGCCGCCGATTTCTTTTGCGATACATTCTGCTGAGAAGCTTCGAGGAATAAAGTCGCTGAACTGCCGAACAAATTCGGCGCCATATTGTTGGAATATCTATAACAAATATTTACAGCTTCAGAATTGAAGAAAATTATGCTATATATATTTGATAATATTTTAAAATATTTATATTTTTTATATTGAGAGAGAGAGAGAGAGAGAGAGAGAGAGAGAGGAAGAAAAGGAATTTCAGCATGCTGTGTTAATCTGCTTCAGGTTTTCAGTAGCACAAGTGAATTTAGCAAAAATAATGTTAAAAAGATATAAATTCTGCAACTACTGATTAAAATTTTTAGGCTTTTCAAATAAATTCTATTTAATTTTTATATTTAAAAAAAGAAAAGAGAACTTTTATATTTAAAAGAAAAAGACAAATAAAAAATTCAAGTTTTAGGAGCCCTATGTGTGAACAATTAACACGTAATTCTTGAATTATCGTCCTTGCATTTAACAACACATTATAAAGATTGTGTGCGTTAATAATTATTAATTAATGCTTTACGTGCTAATCGGTTACGTGCCGTCAATTTCGATAATTGGATACACAAGAATAATAATCAATATCAGCAAAAAGAAAAAGAAAAGAAACCGATACTAACAGATCTTAAGAGTCTATTCTTTTCTTATGAATATTTTACTTTTGCCTTTTATTCTCTTCTACGTGAGAGGAACCAACGAAACGGCCTCGACATTATCGCGCCGCCGTTAACGGAAGATTCATGATTCTTTGATGGCTCTCGACGTACATATATTATGTACATCCACGCAACGATCTCGTTATGGCTTTCCAGAACATTATGTGTGGTTAATATGTGCGACACACGTGTGGAAAGTGCACGTGTAAAAAAAGGGAATTCTCTAAACGTCGCGCTTTCAACACACCGAACGAATGTCCGCGGTCTGTGTTCTCGCGGAGAGAATGATATTCCTGAATTGTGTACGAAGCAAAGTGCTGTCTCCTCGCACAAGCACGCTGGATGTCGACCACATTAACAGCCCTTCACGACGACGAAGTGGTACGCAATTGTTACATCAGAGCAGCTTCGTAATCGCCCGGTGACATTAGCGCGCAATCTTGTCGCGGTTCAGCGAGGAGTGAATATTTTTATATTTTATCTTAACTTCGCAAAAAAAAAAAATGTCATAACTAATCATCGAAATCGCAATCTTTTATTTCTAACATTATAATATACTACGTACTGCGTATCACAATTTTCTCAAAGGACAATTAAAGTTATAAGCCAATAGTTTTCATGAAATTCGTATAAATCTTGAAAATTGGAGGATTTGGAAATTAATACAAATTAAATTTTTAATAGCGAAAATAAGGAGGGGAAGATTTAAGTTGTTGGCTTCTCCAAATGCGGCACATAATTAGCCAAATTTCGATAGATAATTCGGTCGACCTAAAATAGATATTTGGAACGCGCATTTGTGTTCCTCCTTCTTTACGGCTAATTAGATACAAAGTGATCGTTCCCTCCTCCATGTACGTTTTATGAGATTGACGACGACGTGAAGATGCGAGTTATGTAGGTGCCCCACTTCTAAATATTCCTTTCTTCCAGTAGTCTGCATTCTCTCGACGTCGAGAGTTTACGGATAATTTAACGGAACCTGATTCACGAGGCTGTTACTAATATTATGGGTCCCACATCCGGAATTGGATGATCGATTCCGCGTTGATAAACATTAATGTTTCATGTCCGATTTATATCTAATATATAAATTTCTAATATATAAATTTCTAATATACAAATTCAATTTTCTAATATACAAATCATCTATTAACGCATTATTAATCTAAATTATTAACTTTCTTAAGAAATTCTTGTAGTACATTCAATCGAACCGAAAGTGTATTATGGCTGCGTTCCGTTTGGCGCTTACAGCTGATTACAGCGCTCACAAAATCATTTCATCCTTGTTGTTTATCAAATGTTAAACAAAGATAAATGATGCTTATAAGCGCTGTAAACGCCAAGAGAAACGCAGCCTATGAATCATTTATCAAAAAACATCCGCAAAGCGATTTAGACAAGAAATCAGCTTCTTCTATATTTTCTCAGATTTACAAAATAATAGATTTCATTTTTTGTTGTAAACAAAACATTTTTCAACAATTTTTTTCATCAAAGAAAAAACCAAAAATAAAACATAAATCTTCATAAATTATAATAGCTTTCTATTTCGCTTTTTATACAAATTTAGCCTTTCCGCATACATTAAACAACGAAAGTAGACATCCTTTCGGTGTTTACTGAATAACTTGAATAATACTATATGATACAATGTAATTTTTCAAATTACAAATAAAATAGTATTATATTGTTTTCTAATTCATCTTAAAATCGTAAATAATATATTTTCCAGTGTACTTGGTCATATTAATTAATGACCTAAAAAGAATGTTAATATCATGGATATTGAGTTATTAAAAAACGAGAACAGCAACTCTAAGAAATATACGTCTTTCTCTATCTTTATCTCTTTCTGTTTATTTTACAATAATTATAATCGATAATATTATGCTGTCAATCTTAAAAAAAAAAAAAAAAACATATGTATCCGTATTACTTTACTTTTAATCTTCAGGATCGGTGATTAGAAGTAAAAGTTCAAATATCATTGCGTTGAAAGTGTCATGTTAAACGATTATATCTGTGACGAACGTGTTAGCACAAGGCTGACTGTCAATCAGCGTAGACGTTCGCAGAACAGAAATGCAACAGAGCGAATGCTTGACTTACGCTAATATTAACTCTTTACCTAGAGTAACCAGGTTGACGTGCTATTTTCAAAGTAGCTTATGCTTCTCTTCTTTAGGAGTATGTCATAAATTCTTACTTTACTGTTCAGTTTATGGCGCTATGAGATAGCATATAGTTATAGGGGGGCTTTCGAACTTTAGAGAAGAAGCTATCAAAGAGAAAATCATGTAATTAGTATAAACGTTACAGTTACTTCGGATCTTAGTATAAATAAAATATGCCAAATTGAATTGAAAGAAACTTATCAATTGCGCACAAAGATCGTTATCCGTCACAGGGTGAGTTATAATTTGTATTAAAGCACGCTTTATAAATCACGATGGTATTTGAAATAAAATTCTATACTTATAGTTTGATGTGTATAATACAGAAAATAGGTATTTGAAGAATCGGCATACACAACACTCATACAAAATACATGTCGGAATGTATCAAGTTATAAATTTAAAATTCTATCGTGAAATTCGTGAATTATGTATCGACTGACACAGGTTTTAGAAATTATAGTTGATTAAAGCTTAATTTTTTTTAAACTGAAATTATACAAGCTATTTGATGCGTATACTTATGTATTTTAGCAAAGAGCTATAATTATTTCTATAATCATACGTTCAATTTGCCTGTATCTTGAATAGATAAAAACGCAACTATTTTTTGACGCCGTCGTTAATTAACCGATTCAATTTTGCTTTTCAACGCACATATCAACGATAAGCAACGTTCTACTATGATCAAAAGAGAAAAGAACCACGTGACTAAAGGTTAATTACGGACTCACTATAAGTCAGTGGTACAGCTATCTCCTCGTTTTCTGCAACTGTATTGCTGTCATACAAGTGGTAAAGAACGGGTGTGAATAATCCACGTGAAAGCGCTATCGAAAAGGTACATCTTCCTCTCACAATCGACGCGATTTGAAATTTCACGATAATAAGATGGTTCGTAACAAGAATAAAGCAGTTTCAATGGATTGAAACTATAATTTGCTTGTATGCAATTTTCAGGAAAAATAATATTACAAGTTAAAAGCTGTTTTAGAATACAACCTCGGTGCTTTGATATTACAAATTAAAAGTTAATTTAGAATACAAATTTTGCGCTTTTTTACTGATTTGTCGCAAGTACAAAAATGTAGGTCACACAATATTGAATAAGTAAATGAACGAAATAAATGAACAAAATAAATTCGATATAATTAACTCATTAATACAGATATAATTATAAATTTAAATTACTAACGTGAGCATAACGCTCGGATCTACAACCAATAAAACGTTCTTTTTCCGACAGTTCTTTTTCCGTGCATTTGAATTCCTTCATTCAAGAACGTCGTGGATATTAATCGATATCAAAACTGATCTCGAGAAGTCTTTTAATATCTTAGGATCTATCTAAAAAATATTATTTAAAAATAGAAATTGGCATCAAGTAGTCTATCATGTGCAAGGGAAAATTATGAAAAAAAATAACAAAAAAAAAATACAAAAAAAGGAGAAACTTGATTTTATCGCATGTACATACATCCGTAAATCTGAAGTACGTACCTCAGATCTGCATTGATTTTAAGCTAAATTTATAGTAAAATAATTCTCAAATTTCAGAATTCGGGATCTCTGAATTTTTATATGAATGTAGATTTTCATAGTTAAATATAGAGTATTAAATTTTTAGATATAACATCATGTTAAATAATTTGCAATTAACAATATTAATCATAATCATGAAATGAGTACGCCGAATCAAACGTTAAATAAAATCAAAACGACCTTTAGATTGAACAGGCTTCACAGTGTGCCGGAGGATGCACTTACGCGTGCGTTTCTCTTCCGGAACGTAGGCTCGGCACGGCGAAGTGTCATCCTAGTAAAAGTGCTTACGGCACTTCAAAACGGTACATGATGTAGTCGAACAGAATACGTTCGAGGCGGAGAAAGGGGACGGCCGTAGAGGAAAGATATGGAGAAACGAGAAAAGAACATAAATAAATGCTATACGCTCGAGCAGGAACAGGTTCTCCGGAAAGCAGGCCATTGGCGTCTTTAAGGTCATTGCCAATCGCGGATCGAAATTCCTAGACTCTTATAACGGGCCCCGAGGCGATGGAAGCCACCCAGACGGGAGCATGTAGCATCTCACGTTTTCGACCGGACTGACGGGTTTCGCCTGTATTTGCTAATTGACCAGAAAATTGCACCAAAAACTGACCGCGATATCGTGACTTTTTTACGATCATCGCGAGAAGTGGAAGAAGCTGACGATTTGTATATTTGAGTACGTTATGTTTGTAAAAATAAGAAGTAATACTACTATAACTAGAGTAACTGACGTTTCTCAGAGAAGGAAATGCGATGAAGCAAATCAATAATGATTTGAATATGAATGATTGAAGTGAGCTGAAAACTTGAAATGCAGAAATGATTTCTTTAATTGCGCGCCGATGTTACTGGCAATTGGAAGTGAAGTAGATCGTTCTTCGGATTATTAATGATCGAAAATGAATCGGGCGCTTGTCGATTATCGTGAAGAAACGGAGGATGTTAAAGAGGAACACTGACCTACTAATCCTACAGCACGTGACGTTTTCTCTCGAGATTCAACGCGCGATGCTACACGTAGTATCTGACAAATAACGTACGACTTTCTTTTGAGGCGAAACGTGCGTGCTCTTCAACTTGTGATATCGCATCGTACGCATCGCATATGTTTATTCATCAGTTGCTGCGATTCATGCAGTATAATGATTCACAAAAGATACAGTTTTACAAAATTTATTTTCCAAGAGCCTTTCAGGAGCAGCACAAATTTTGCTTCCCTTAGCAAGATACGCTCCTTCGTGTCCTTCGTTATATACAACACGATTACGAGACTGCTACTTGCGAAAAGTAACGCGCGTGGAAGCTGCAGAATGGAGTAGTACAATAAGTTTCATCTCAAATGTATCATCGTGGTTTAGCTCGTCTCAAATAAATTGTCATTAATAAATCACAACATTCTCGACGTCATGGATTACAGAGACGAAATTACTTTCGAAAATTTATAAAAATTAAACTGAATGATAAGATTTTGCTATTCTTTAAAATAAACCAATAAAATAATAATGTAGATATGCGAAAATAATAAAGTGATACGATGATTTAACTAATTACTGTAACCACTATATACTATTATATTAATTATTTTTTACTACAATGAGCAAGGCTTTCCTTTCGTGTTTTGCAGAATTATATCTTTCCGTTTCTATATTTTCATTTTTCCACAATAATTTTACTTTCAGTTACACGAATTGCATACAGATGAAACTCGAGCAAGTGTTGCGACATAATTGTGTTACAGCGAAGTTACTCTCACCCACTAGCGTGAACCGCTCCGCTACTTTGATCCCGAATAACTACCGTGTTATATTACGTTTTGTCTTGAAATTATTGCGTGCGTCATACGCAAAACACGTACCATACATTTAACACGATACGTCTAACCAAATATCAATTATCTTAAAAAGATTTATACAAAAGAGTCTCTCTTTCTTTGTCTTTCTTTTAAGAAACAGAAAAGAATAAATCTCTGTTGCGCGCTGCGAATATTTATTAGTCAACGTGGAAATTTTCATACTACATGTGCATAAATTGCAAAATTGTTTATTATGTTAATGATCCTCTTTTTGTTAATCCGCCGATGCTGAATATTGTTCGCGAACTGACTAATGCTCGAGACAAAAAATTTTCAAGAAGTGAAAGAAGCTTCGGCGGCGATTTGCATGTTAATTGTTTGTATAAAATGATACTGAGAATAATTCACGTTTTTTAGAAAAGGAACTGAAGCAAACAATTATCGAATGTGAATATGAATGATAGAATATGAATCATTGAATATAAATAATTGAGCTGAACTAAAAATTTGAAATACAGATATTTGCAGAAAAATATTTATGCGATAATAACTACATTACATAGCGTGTATCACGTCTGTTGGAAAATTATAATGAGATTCTATTCAATTCCACTCTAATAAGTAAAACAGCCGTTCAAGAAAGTATGCCTTACGGGAAGTCTGTCGGCGCAACAGATGGGAAGAAGCATCAGCGAAAAAAAGTCGCCACGACATGCGTGATTCACTACATTTAGACGCAATTTTACTTTTGAATAGAAACAATTTAAATCACTAAAGCGGTTAAGAGAATAGGTTTCTTCTTTGGAGAGACATTTCAATGTGTCAGAGAAAAAGAGGAAAAATGAACCGTGCAAGAAGTTTAACTAAAATGAACAGGTCTAATACTACTGAGAGAAGTGCGCGCAAAATATACATCTAAATAAAACTACAATTTTTAAATTGATTCATATTGCAGATTCTTTGACCACAAATCGGCTAATCAATATACGTTCCACAAAAACATTGAAATTTATTTATAAGTAAATTTACAAAGGCAAGTTGAAGAAACAGAATTTTTTAATAAAATTAATGCATAGAAACTTTTTACCAGTTAAGTTTCGAGAGAAGGAGATAGCAAAATCATATTTTTCATTATTATATAAATTTGTTTTATCTTAACAAAATTTTAATTTAAATATACTTTTCTGCATAAAAATTTTAAAATAAAAAAAAAAGGCATTTTATTCTTTTTCTAAAAATTTTTAGAGAATTTTTTTTGCAAAAAAAGAAAAGGTTTTTCGTATTATTACAAAATTATAATTATGCAATAAAATATAATTACATGAAGAAAAATCAAGTATTTCGAGTACATCAAAATTTGTATTACAGTGGAACGTTTGTTCAACGAAAGGTTCTTCACTTTATTACCCGACAACAGTCTGTTACTTATCTACCTATCTATCTATCTAAAAGATAATAATAAACGAGTGGAACAAAATTGCAGCGTGCCGGCAATAATAAGAACTTCACATTTAAATTTATTGTGATTTGCGTCCAAAGACGCATAATAATAGCATCAATTATCATAAAAATTTGTCTGTTTTTTCAACAATATTATCATAAAAATTATTTTCTCAATCGTATTCATATATATTTATAACATCAATATTTGTAATGAAATAACATAATAAATGTATACAAAGATACAGATACATGTATGATACACTGATCACGCACTGTAACCATAGTCGTTTTTAATTTTTTCCTAAACTAATATAAATATGTGATACATATAAATATTACACTGGATAAAAAGGGTGTTATAAAATAATTTGATATTTCGAATTAATATTTTGCCTTGCACAGATTTCAAAGGATTTCAATATGAAAATCTTGTCGCTATTATTCGCCGATAAATACTCAAAGTTAGCGCATTGATGTAATTTTCTTTTTCAATAATTATGTTTCAATGTGGTATGTATAATTATCAAAACTGATAGTGTACAAAAGTTTAAAAAAAAAGATGATTCGGTGACTTACGACTTAAGCGATGAGTGTACGTGGGCGAGATTGCGAGTACTTTGTCGCGGAGTAAGCTCGATACGAAGAAACACGAGGATATGTGACGGTGACTCTCCTGGACGGATGGTCCGACTTGATGGCGAGTTCACTATGAAATACCGAGATGCTGGAGCGTATGTCCCACTTATCAACTCTGCGCCGCCCCACGTAAAATGACGATCGTCAAACGAAACCCCCCGCCTGTCATGTCGGTTGCCCTAAAAAGCACTTGGCTCTTGCAGGAGCAAGTGACGGAAGTGGCAGGTTGCAAAAACCGAGAGTTGTGCGATTCGCTTTCTCGAAATCGATTATTTCTATTGGTTAAAGCGCACACCTATTTTCATGTTCTTAATTCGCAATTTCGCAAATTCCGGCACACTTTATCAATAGCTTTGTCACTTCAATTGTTATATGCAAATCACGTACGCAATAGTCTACATAGCGGCTAATGTTTGCGAAGTATGATTAAGTATTTTTTCCATCAGTTTGTATCCATGTATACATATATCGAAGAGAATCTAAAATAATTTAAACAAATCATAATGTACTGACTCTATCTATTTAATAATATTATATAAAAAAATATTACAGTGATGTAAGTTACTAACGTCCTCAAATAATGAACAACACAAAAATGGAAATGCGGTTGTCAACGTAAAAATATATGTTATATTATATTATTTATGATGTTATAACACTCTTTCATTAATTTATTAAAGAAGTTACATATTCAAAGTAATTTTAAAAAAGATGTTATTTCTCTTGTTCTCCCCCTTTCATCCATGTTCTGTAAATTGTTCAAAACATTACACACATTCATAAAATTGTAATATATGTATGTAAAAGATTAATTTTTATATTGGACTCCTGTTACTTTTCTGTGAATTCAGTAACAAAATCGTTGATGTAGTTTCGCGAATCCATGAAATTATTACCGTGCAGCCATAAATAATAATTAAGATAAGCGTTAACATTATTATTCGGATCGAAAGCAACGAGAGCTATATTTTGTGATCTTCTTCGCCGAAAGCAGCGAAGAAACTACGGTGGAGAAATATTGGGAGCTAGGACATAAACTTTTTGTCAAATGCTTCAGCATTTTGCGCGCCTGATTTTCTTCGATTTTCCGTCAGCTTTGCGTGTCATCTCTGTTTAATTAGAGACTTTAATTTTTTTACGCATGTATTCACAGAAATTTGTTTCGAGAGAGTAGTCTATTTCTTCTCTCTAAATTTTCTGGAGTAACTTTCACTTTTTTGGAGTGAATTTTTACTCTTCTGGAGTGAATCTCATTCCAGAAAATTTAGAGAGTTCCAAAAAAATCTTTAGAAACTAACCATAGGATGAGAAGAAATTGAATATTAACCTAATTTAATATTTCTTACAGAGAATCAACGCGGTAAATAATTATATCTAGTATATCGTATCGATTAATTCGACCATTTCTATAAGTAAAATTAATTCGATAATGTAAGTTGTCTTTATTTCGAATAATATACAGTATACGTGTTGAGATTATAATTTTAATTTTGGCATGCACAGAGAATTAATGCATCGAACTTAATTCTAGAAATAAACTACTTTTTCTCTTCCTTTTTTTATATAAGACGCATTGCAAACAATACAAGATTAAAAACAAGATTATTTTATCAATCAAAATTCTTTTGTCATATGTTCTTACAGGACGATAATATACCGTATCGACTTTTATATCTATTACTACTTATTTCACATAAGACTTAAGATATATTTCATTTCCGATTTTATTATAAATTTAACGCAATCAAAGAGATCTAATAATTTTTTTATTATGTGAATATATAAAGTATGTAAGTATTGTAGTAATGCGTAGTTTACATCTTGTTTTATAACGACAAAAAGTGGTTCAAGACTTCTCTATTTTTTACAATAGAATCCAATCCATTATTTAATCAAGCGATACGGTAGCGGCGCGACGTTAAGTACTTATATAAAAAAGATCGGGCGATGATCACTCCGGATAAAAATACTAGTTCGTCGGAAATTTATTGATCGGAATGTCAAGGAAATGTCCGTTAATCGTAAATATCAAGTTAATTATAAATGTCTGTTGTTTGTAGAAGGATAATACGATCTTTTTCAGAAAAAACTTGGACATTTTTCTCAGTGTGGATCATCAATATCTTCATTCGATTGTTAAATAATGGACACACACATGTAGAGAGAGACGAAAAGAGAGTATCTCAGATCTATCGCACTTTTACTTATTTATTTAATTAACTGGCTGTGCACACGCCAAAATTAAAAATATAATGCCAACGTTTTAATATTTATATTGTATGAATTTGATAAATAATTTTCTCTAAATAATTTCAAGAATCTACTATATTAGCAGGTGATATGGTAGGTTCGGG